GGACCATAAGGAAGGCTGAGAGCCAAAGAATGGAGGCCTTTTGAACTCTGGTGCTGGAGAAGACTCCTGCGAGTCCCTTGGACTGCAAGGCGATCCAACCGGTCAGCCCTAGAGGAGATCGACCCTGACTGCTCTCTAGAAGGCCAGATCCTGAAGAGGAAACTCAAATCCTTTGGCCACCTAATGAGAAGGAAGGACTCCCTGGAGAAGAGCCGAATGCTGGGAACGATGGAGGGCAAAAGAAGAAGGGGATGGCAGAGAAGGAGGTGGCTGGATGGAGTCACTGAAGCAGTCGGCATGAGTTTAAATGGTCTCCAGAGGATGGTAGAGGACAGGAAGGCTGGAGGAACATTGTCCATGGGGTCGCGATGGGTCGGACATGACTTTGCAATTACCCTGTTTCCCCCAAAATAAGACATCCCCTGATAATAAGCCCCTCTTCTTTTCTGCAGTGTCCTCACGCAACATTATCTTCATTTTGTCCCGTGCCTGTGACACAGAGAGGTTGAAATTGTTCTATTGCTCCATCAAAGCTAAAGCAGTCTTCTCACCATCCACCGACAGCATCTGAATGTAGCTCAAAGCATGCAAAATTTGTTGGGCTGGGTCGTCTCTCAGTTAGGAGGAAAGCCGGATAGGCAGAGCCAAGGGAGGAGTAAGTCATATGTAAACCGAATGTCATGTTGGCATCATTTTCTGCTGATTCAATGACAGCCAGAGAGCATTTCATCTCGGCAATAGAGAAGAGGCCCCGGGGCTATGAAAAAAATGGATTACATTCTTTTCCATTGGCCACTTTCACGGATGGATAACGACAACGGAATAACAGAGTTGGAAGGGGCCTTGGAGGTCTTCTAGTCCAACCCCCTGCTTAGGCAGGAAACCCTACACCACTTCAGACATCCAACCTCTTCTTAAAAACTTCCAGTGTTGGAGCATTCACAACTTCTTGAGGGAAGCGGTTCCACAGATTAATTGGTCTCCCTGTCAGGGAATTTCTCCTTAGTTCTAGGTTGCTTCTCTCCTTGATTAGTTTCCATCCATTGCTTCTTGTCCTGCCTTCAGGTGCTTTGGAGAATAGCTTGACTCCCTCTTCTTTGGGGCAACCCCTGAGATATTGGAACACTGCTATCATGTCTCCCCTTCTTTTCATAAGACTAGACCTACCCAGTTCCTGCAACCAATGTCAGAAGAGTGCAGAAGAAGAGGAAGAGGAAGAGGAAGAGGAAGAGGAAGAGGAAGAGGAAGAAGAAGAAGAAGAAGAAGAAGAAGAAGAAGAAGAAGAAGAAGAAGAAGAAGAAGAAGGGCAACAAAGATGATAATGGGTCTGGAGGCTAAATTGTATAATGAACAGTTGAAGGAGCTAGGTATATCTAACAGAAAACAAGAGTTGGAAGGGATCTTGGAGGTCTTCTAGTCCAACCCCGTCCAAACACAACCTCCTGATGAGTGACCCTAAGTCACACAGTTGGTATTCACACTTATGGCAGAACTAGAACTCATTGTCTCCTGGTGACTGACCCAAAGCCACCCAGCTGGCTTTATATTTAAGACGGGACTAGAGCTCACCGTCTCCTGGTGATTGCCCCAAAGTCACCCAACCAGCTTTTTTGCTTAAGGTGGAACTAGAGCTCACCATCTCCTGGTGATTGGCCCAAAGTCACCCAACCAGCTTTCTTGCTTAAGGTGGAACTAGAGCTCACCATCTCCTGGTGATTGGCCCAAAGTCACCCAGCTGGCTTTCATGCTACATATCCATACATGTATATGTAATACTTCTGTATATGTGAATCTTATTCATTTCAGCATAGAGGGCCACCTCTCTCACCAGAGTGAGTCTAGGCAGCGATCAAAAGTGGAACAACAAGCACAATAAAAAAAACATACATACACATCATAATGTATAATTTCAAAAAAGGAACGGCAGTCAAAGTAAAAGTAAAAGAATATGATATCCAATATATATTCCCACGCAGGCTTTACTAACTTCATGATCCATATGTCTGGACAAAGAGTTTTCCCACCTTGGCATCAATAGTGTTAAAATTCTCCAAAGGGCGTATGCATGTGTGAATATAATTTCTCTATCTGCGTATGTCACACACACAGATTATATTCACAGATGCACGCTATCTATACAGATGCATAAAGTTGATTTTAAATTTTTTTTATTCATTTCAACTTCAGTTAATAACCAGGCAGCCAATCCATTTAAATCATCCTCATAATTTATCTACCCGCCCACTTCACATACATTCCTCTGGCTGGCTTCCAAAAAACAACCTCATATAAACAAAATTCAAAACAATTAAAACCGTTAAAACAATTAACCAGAATTTTTTAAAAAAACAAAACCCAGCACAGGAAATTGCCAAGCTACTTAAGTATCATTTCCATGCAAATATGTACTCAAAGAAACACACTATCTTCACCTGAGATATACTTATATTCCCTTTAATTAATTTTTTTAATTTTTAGTTTTTAATTATTTTATTCCAGAGCATTGCCTGCAATGAGAATTTAAAAATAGGTAGATAGGTAAATAGATAGATAGATAGAAGATAGATAGATAGAAGATAGATAGTAGATAGATAGATAGAAGATAGATAGAAGGTAGATAGATAGAAGATAGATAGATAGATAGATAGAGATGATAGACAGACAGACAGACAGACAGACAGACAGACAGTTTTATGTTTTAATTGTATACTGCCCAAATTGCTCTAGAAGCATGATGGCCTCTTTACAAATTTGATACATAAATTAAAATCAATACATAATGCACTCACATGCACAAGTTTATAGCTCAGGTATTATATATGCTTACGCTTCCTACACTGAATAGAGATCCCATTGTGTGCACATGAAAACACACCTCTATATATGTGGGTTTCACACATATGTGCATCTGAAGCTTGTGAAGGGGTATCTAATAAACGCCATAGTAGGTGCATACAATTACACAGGACAGATACTCTCCATATAAATTCAGTGATATCCACACAGATAATCATGTCCATGTACATTAGCACACGCCTTATACTAGTGTTTTCTTTTTTTTTTAATTAAATGACTGTACTTGAATGGCTGTCAACAAAGATAAAAATAATAGTATTTTTTTTCCCTAATGCTTTGGAGATAAAATTTGCCTCACTTGTGTGGATTGCTTCGTTGCAGGGACTGCAATCATGTTTCAAATTTCAAATATTGTTCAGGAAAGACAGCAGAGAGGGGAAAGGAAACATTTTGATATGTAACATTTTGTTACTGCACAAACACACATATGTATCTATTATACATACACAATGTGGATGGATGGATGGATGGATGGATGGATGGATGGATGGATGGATAGATAGATAGCTAGATATAGATAGATAGGGATGGCTGGATGGAGAGAGATACAGATGGTAGGTAGGTAGGTAAGTAGATAAGATAGATAGAGAGAGATAGATAGGGATGGAGGGATGGAGAGATACAGATGGTAGGCAGGTAGGTAAGTAGATAGATGGATGGATAGATAGATAGATAGATAGATAGATAGATAGATAGTTGGATGGAGAGAGATACAGATGATAGGTAGGTAAGTGGATGGATGGATGGATGGATGGATGGAGAGAGAGAGATAGGGATGGATGGATGGATAGATAGATATAGACAAATTGATCGATCAATCGATAGATAGGGATGGCTGGATGGAGAGAGATACAGATGATAGGCAGGTAGGTAGGTAAGTAGATAGATAGATAGATAGATAGATAGATAGATAGATAGATAGATAGATAGATAGACAGATGGATGGATTGATGGAGAGAGATAGGGATGGATGGATGGATGGATGGATGGATGGATGGATGGAGAGAGATACAGATGATAGGCAGGTAGGTAAGTAAATAGATAGATAGATAGATAGATAGATAGATAGATAGATAGATAGATACACACACACATAAAGCGTGTAATACATATATAATATGTCTATATAGTGTGTGTACCTAGATATAGTGTGTATATAGTGTATAGCTGGCTATAGTGTATGTGTGTGTGAATAGATGGATGGGTAGAGAGACAGACAGACAGACAGATGATAGAGAGTAATGTTTGAAAGAGAATAGATAGATATGATAGACAGGCAGGCAGAGTGTATCAATATAGGGTGTGTTTGTGTGTGTACACAGAATACACACATGTATGTATGTATGTATGTATGTATGGAGTAAGTGTGTGTGTGTGTGTGTGTGTGTGTATGTATTTATAGAGTGTGTGTGTAAAGCCAGAGCCCTATCTCTACCCACACCCTCCACGCCCACATCCATAAACAGAAGCAAACTCCAAAAAGACACGACGAATCCCCACGTCGGCCACAATGCAACCCGGAAACCTCCGAGCCACAATCACGGCTCACCTTTTACGGCCCGCGTGCATTTGCACCCCCACCTCCCTCCCTCCCTCCCTCCTCCCCTCCCCTCCCCTCTCCCCCCCAGGGGCCTTCCGGCAAGGACCCCCCACTCCCCACCTCCCTCCCACCCCCTCCCACAATCCACACGGGGGGGGGTCACCCCATTTGCAAAAAAAAAAAGAAAACCCCGAGCGTGCCAAAAAGTGTGAGACTCTGCACACACACACACACACACACAAAGGGGGGCACGCGCGGGCGGGCACGCGCACGGAGAGGAGGAGGGGGATGGTCCCCCCTCTGCCTAGCCCACCCCCCACACCCATCCCCTCCCTTTCCTTCCCCCACCCGGAAAGCAAGCAAGCAAGGGGGGGAGGGGGGCTCTGCCTTTTTTTGCACACTCGTGTGCAATTGCCTTTTTTTTTTTCTTTCTTTCTTGCTTTTTTTGCACCCTCGTCCCGGGCGCGGCTGCTCTTCCGTTCGCTTCTAGGGCTTGTTGAGGCCGCTGGGCCGGCCGATGCCCATCATCCACGCCCGGCCGGCCTTCCGCTTGGTCCCCGACCAGGGCCAGGCCTGGCTCGGCTCGGCTCGGCTCGGCACTCACCTGCTTTCTCCACCCTGCCAGACATGGCTCGGCCGCCGCTTGCTCGGCCCGGTGGCCGGGCTCGGGCGCTGGCGGAACCCCGGGGAGGACGGCAGGCGGCCGGGCAGCTCCGCGCGGCTCCGGTGCTGCCACTGCTGCTCCTCCCGCCGCCGCCGCCGCCGCCGCTAAGCAGGGCCAGCCCGGCCCACAGCGCGCCCTGCTGCCCGACCGCCGCGGCTGCCGAGGCTGTTGCTCGCCGCTGGAGGGGGCCAGCAAGTCCCATCGCTCACCGCCGGGAGGACTCCAGGGCCCATGGGCCGGAGAGGCGGGAGGGAGGGCGGCAGAGGACTGGGAGCTGGACTAGAAGACCTCGGGAGGCCCCTTCCAGCGCCGTTCTGATTCAGAAAATGGGGGTTGGGGGGGGTTGATGTGACTCGCCTGGAGGGGACTCCAAGCCCCATCTCCCACAGCAGAAGAGAAGAGGGCTCCCTTCCCTGGAAGGCACAAATCGTCCATCCTGCCCAGCCAGGGAAGGACTCCAAGCCCCATCTCCCACAGCAGAAGAGAAGAGGGCTCCCTTCCCTGGAAGGCACAAATCGTCCATCCTGCCCAGCCAGGGAGGGACTCCAGGCCCCATCTCCCATACTAAAAGAGAAGGCTGTTGCTAGCAATGAAAGGCGTGAGCTCCCATCATGCCCAGCCAGGGAAGGACTCCAGGCCCCATCACCCACAGCAGAAGAGAAGAGGGCTCCCTTCCCTGGAAGGCACAAATCGTCCATCCTGCCCAGCCAGGGAGGGACTCCAATCCCCATCTCCCACAGCAGAAGAGAAGAGGGCTCCCTTCCCTGGAAGGCACAAATCATCCATCCTGCCCAGCCAGGGAGGGGACTCCAGGCCCCATCACCCACAGCAGAAGAGAAGAGGGCTCCCTTCCTTGGAAGGCACAAATCGTCCATCCTGCCCAGCCAGGGAGGGACTCCAGGCCCCATCAACCACAGCAGCAGGAAAAAAAAATAGCATAATATTCTTCCTTCCTCTTGAGAGGCTGTGATGTGAAGGGACTATTCTCCGCTTGGCCCCAACCTGGACTACATCTCCCATCGTCCCCCAACCCTCCGACTCTCCTACCCAGCAGCCACAGCGCAGGGTCGCCATCCAGCATCTCTGCAGCAGCCAGGCTCATTTCAGGGCCCTACTTCTGACTTTGCTTCCCCTAATAAGATTTTTTTTAGGATTTTTTTTGGGGGGTGGATTATGTGGGCCGCTTTCCTCATTCCAGGAATTTTTGGGCTTCCAAATATTTGGGGAGGGACCCATTTTTGAGGCTTTCCTTGGGTGGGAAGGTCATGCAATCTCTCCTCCCCCCCCCTCCTCCTCTTTCAAAGCGACTGCGTATTTTCTTGGCAGAAAAAATTCCTGCACGATATTTGGGGACCGACATGCCACAAGAGGCCCCAACCTGAAATGTCTGATGTCTGGAATGGTCTAGGCAGGGTCTGCTGCTTGAGTAGGGGGTTGGACTAGAAGACCTCCAAGGTCCCTTCCAACTCTATTCTGATTGATAGAGGTGGCAACCATTTGGGAAACCCACATTTGTAGGGGGAAAAAACCCCAAGTTATTTCAAATAAACAAACATCGAAGATGAATTAGGACAAGTAGAAGTCGAGACTGGCCAGGTTCTTTCTTTCTTTCTTTCTTTCTTTCTTTCTTTCTTTCTTTCTTTCTTTCTTTCTTTCTTTCCTTCCTTCCTTCCTTCCTTTCTTTCTTCCTTCCTTCCTATCTTTTAATTCTCCCTCCCTCCCTTCCTATCTTTGAATTCTTCCTCCCCTCCTCCCTCCCTTCCTTCCTTCCTTTTAATTCTCCCTCCTCTCCTACCTCCTTCCTATCTTTGAATTCTCCCTCCCTCCCATCCTTCAGCTTTTAATTCTCCCCCCGTTCCTCTTTCCCTTCCTTCCCTACTTCAGCTTCTTTTAATCCTCTCTCCCTCCCCTTCCTATCCTGCCTTTATTATTTTTATGAATAACTCAAGTTGGCGAACATATCTTAATACTCCTTCCTCCTCCTATTTTCCTCACAACAACCCTGTGAGGTGGGTTGGGCTGAGAGAGTGACTGATCCAAGGTTGCCCAGCCGATTTCCATGGTTAAGGCGGGACTACAATTCACCATCTCCTGGTAATTGGCCCAAAGTCACCCAGCTGACTTTCATGGCTAAGGCGGGGACTAGAACTCACATTCTCCTGGTGATTGGCTCAAAGTCACCCAGCCGACTTTCATGGCTAAGGCGGGACTAGAACTCACATTCTCCTGGTGATTGGCTCAAAGTCACCCAGCTGACTTTCATGGCTAAGGCGGGACTAGAACTCACATTCTCCTGGTGATTGGCCCAAAGTCACCCAGCCGACTTTCATGGCTAAGGTGGGACTAGAACTCACTGTCTCCTGGTGATTGGCCCAAAGTCACCCAGCCGACTTTCATGGCTAAGGCGGGACTAGAACTCACTGTCTCCTGGTGATTGGCCCAAAGTCACCCAGCCGACTTTCATGGCTAAGGCGGGACTAGAACTCACATTCTCCTGGTGATTGGCCCAAAGTCACCCAGGTGGCTTTCAATTCAAAACCGGGACTAGAACTGTCCCATCTCCTGCTTTCTAATCTGGTGCCTTAAGTGCTAGACCAAATCGGCTCTTTTAAAATTTTTAAACTTTCTTTTAACCACGGTTTATCCACTAAACCAGAGCTTCCCGTTCACCCAACGTACTCAGCCAGAGTGCCCCAAAGTAACCAAAACTAAACCAAGGCTACATTTTTGTGCATTGTGCGACCCAACAAGAGCACCAGCTCTCTCGTCAAACTCTTCTTTCAGGGAACAATTCCACCCAATGTTATTTTTAAACGCCTCGGCTGTATTTCGAACGGAGTTTTCCCAGGGCAGAACCAATGCCTGTCAGAACACACCTTCCTTCTTCAAGGAAATCTTTTGAAAGATTAAAAAATTTTGATCTTTCCAAAAAAAAAAAAAAATAAAAAAAATTCTCTTTGCTGCTACAAATAGACTGCTCTTAATACTTCAGGTCCTCTGAATGTTTAATAATGTTGGCCGTTGCTCATTCACAACATCCAATTTAAATTTGTCTCCCTTTTTTTTTAAAATAAAAAATTGAGCTCCCCTCCCACGATACTCAGAATAAAATGCAGAGTAACAGAGTTGGAAGGGACTTTAGAGGTCTTCTAGTCCAACCTGTCAAGTATACGACCCCTGTCGTATACTATAGAGTAGTATATTATATTATTATATATTATATATTATATTATAATATATAATATATATTATATAATATATATTATATATTATAATATATTATATATTATATTATACTATATTATTATATTAAGAAAATATTTATTTTCTTGTCCTTCCTCGTTCTTACATCACGTTTTAATTTTGCAAGGCTTTGTCGTCCTTTCTGAATTTTTTTCAGCCCTTCCCCCAATTTCCTAGAATACAAACTGAATATTTATTTATGCATCCGTTTTGTTTATTTATTTAAGTGGCCCAAATTGCAGTAGTATATTATATTATTATATTATTATATATTATATTATAATATATAATATATATTATATAATATTATATATTATATAATATATATTATAATATATTATATATTATATTATACTATATTATTATATTAAGAAAATATTTATTTTCTTGTCCTTCCTCGTTCTTACATCACATTTTAATTTTGCAAGGCTTTGTCGTCCTTTCTGAATTTTTTTCAGCCCTTCCCCCAATTTCCTAGAATACAAACTGAATATTTATTTATGCATCCGTTTTGTTTATTTATTTAAGTGGCCCAAATGTAACAGGCTGAAATTAAGCGACCTCTGGCGGCTTCAGCTTGAATTTCCTTTCCTGCTCACAGCTGGATATTGAAATTTCATTCACGCAAAACCCCTGGCCTTGCCTTGTAGACTCTTGTTTCTTTTAGCCGGGTTTGTGCTCTCACAACCGACCACGTCTTATTGGGACTTCAGCTGGGAAATGAAGTTTTTCCCCCTAGAAAAAGGGAAGAAAACTTCGGTGTTGCATGAAGATCAGTAGAATAGTTTATCTCCAGAAGTTGTTTTCAGGAAGAAATAGAAATATAGTTTATTCTATTCTACATATTGATGTCTTAAATTATTGCATTTTATCCTATAACTATTGTATTTTACCCTACTCTTATTTTAAATTGTTTGTATAGGATTTTATCGGTAATATGTGTTTTAACATATTAAGGGGGAGAGCCTTCTCTGCAGGGGCACCTGCCATCTGGAACGAGCTCCCCACGGAGATACGGAGGATCCAAGATTTACGCACTTTCCGCCGCGCCCTAAAAACGTTTTAATTCCAACAGGCTGGTCTGGCCTAACTCTCCCTTTTAAATTGGGTTTTAAATGTTTTACATAAATGGGATGTTTTTAAATTTGTTTTTTGAGCCCAAATTATTTAATTTATTTTTAATAGCTTTTAACTTTTGTATGTTATTTGTATTTTTATCTTGGCTGTTCCCCGCCCTGAGTCCCCTGGGAGTAGGGCGGTATATAAATATGATAAAATAAATAAATAATAAATAACCTTGTATGTTGATATGGCCAGGAGGAGGAGGAAGAGGAGGAGGAGGAGGAGGAGGAGGAGGAGGACATTGTAGCTTCCTGCAATAACAGCAGCTGAACTGCAAAACTACGCTACTGGGAACATCATATATTTTAAGAAGATTCTTGGTTGATACCTAGGACTCTGGCAGCAACCTGTATCAACCATTAGCACGGGTCAATGGTATTTGTGACACATTTTTAAATGATCAGTTGACTGTGTTTCATGTTTAATGAATAAAAGAAGAAGAAGAAGAAGAAGAAGAAGAAGAAGAAGAAGAAGAAGAAGAAGAAGAAGAAGAAGAAGAAGAAGAGGAAGAGGAAGAAGAAGAGGAAGAAGAATGCTTTTTAGTAGGCTGTTTAGATTTGCTATGGCTTTCCTCCCCAGGAGCAAATGTCTTTTAATTTCTTGGCTGCAGTCCCCATCTGCGGTCATCTTGGAGCCCAGGAAAATAAAATCTTTCACTCCCTCCATTTCTTCCCCATCTATTTGCTGGGACTTCCAATATTTAAGA